TTTAATTTTATTTCATTTAGAGTCTCGTCTTTAGTCCTACTCTTGCAATTTCCAAGCCATCAAATCATTACTGAACTGTAATCGACTCATTGCAAACTTCGTCCTCATTTAACCACAATTTTAAACGGCCTTGGTTCTTCCTTACTCAATTTAAATTTTAAATTAAAATAGTTAATAATCCATGTAATGCGATTGTCATAAAGATATGCATTTATAACTTAATAGTTATGACGAAGTCAATGATGCTGGAGGTACAATATTAATATTTACATTTATGGAAATCTAGGTGTCTGTAAATATGCATTCAGCACTTTCAGCATTAAGCTGATATTTTAATTTAGCGATGTAATGTCTAGTCATGAGAAGGTTTTTATCGATGGCTGTCATTCATCCTGACATGGTGAAATTAATAATAATTGACACTCGTGTCATTATAATATTTCTTTTATTTACAATATAATATATCATTTTGTTGAGTAATAGTTGGAATCACTATGGAATTTAATAAATCATTGATATCGGCCATGAATCTTGGAAGCTTCAACGTTTAGGCTCTCCCAACATTTCATTGAGAGCATCTGCAATGAATTACGAGAGATGAGAATTTCTTGATCGTCAGTCTGAAAGATTTGGTAAAATTCCATTTACAGACGTAAAAAAAAAATAAAGAGATGTTATTTGGAGTTTTTAGTCAGTGAAAATATGAAGTAAAAATAAATAAATAACTAGTTGGCCCGTGCGAATAATTCACAGGAAATTTTGTTTAGTGAAGAAATAGCAAAACAATATGGAAATAAGTAATTCATATGTATTCCAATAAACATAACAGGCCAAAATATTTGTACAAATGTCTTTGCTAGGACCTATTTTTGAACGCAGAATGGAAAGGTAATAAAAGAAATAAAGACAAAATAATGCCCCAATCATTGGATTGTCTAAATTATTAAAAAAAAAATAACATGTAAGAACAACCAAATGTATAAAGTTAATATATCAGCCAGAAAAAAAAGTGCAGTACACTATTCTACTCCTAAATGCAATATCTTTAAAAAGGAAGACATTAAGTATACCAAAACTAATGGACTGTATTTTTTTTTTTGTAAGTAATTTGGTAATCTTTCTAATTATCATGGGTACAATTCAGAAAAACAAATGCATACTTTTTGAATTATTGGCAAATTAAGTTTCTTTTCCTTCATAGCCTTTTTTCCAGAAATTTAGGTGGTATAGGACTATTTTTCGAATGTGAAGGAGAAGAATATCTTCAAAATGAGTGGTCAATCATTGGATTTGATGAAGAATTGACGAAGTTATGGCATACCGACAAAAAAACACCTTTTAGAAATAATATATAGGATATATATTTTTATTTTCTTTATGCCGACGCTTCGGCCTTCAACAGGCCTAAGAAATGACAAGATAACGTATACATATCGAGAACCCAGTAGACGGTAATAGTAATCATTTATAGGTAAAAGGTATAGTCTAATAACATGTAGTTAGATAAACTTAATATTAATAAATATGTGGAATGGAAAATATATGGTATATAAATAAAGAGTGTGTAAAGTAACGGTAACAACGTCGTGGTAGCAAAGTTATGGTATATAAGATAACGGTATATAACGGTTACTTACGAAATAATGGAACAAACTTAGGAATTTATAAAATAAATGTTTATATACAACCATTACTGTATACTTCCTTTATTTATATACCGTATATTTGCCATTCCAAATACCGAAAGATGGGGTAATTTTGGGACTGGGTGGGTTACTTTGGGACAGCGGGTAAAATTTAGTTTATGGTGATTCCGTGGTGGATACACTGTGTTGGTTCAGTCTGTAAAAACACGTTTTATATCAGCATGTACTGCGCTATTACCTTGTGACACACTAATCTTGAGGCACAAACGAAACTTTAATGAAAACAAGAATTTTGATAAAGGCAATGAAAAATAAATAAAACCTAACTGCACAACGAGTGTAGTGGACTAGAGTCCTCAAACTGCCGCAAGATAGTAGCGCAGTACATGCCTACACAAAGCACGTTTTTGCAGACTGAACCAACACAGTGTATCCACCACGGAACCACCACAAACTAAATTTTACCCCCAGTCCCAAAATTTACCCACCCAGTCCCAAAAATACTCCAACTTACGATATTTATTTCAGTTTAACGACCTACATGTTATTAGACTATAACTTTTACCTACACATTATTATTATTACTGTCTACTGGTTTCTCAATATTTGTGTATTATCTTATCTTTGTTTAGCCCTGACTTATGCCGAAACGTCGGCACAAAGTAAATATAAATAAGTAAGTAAATACATTGTTTTTACTTTGTATTTTTTTTTATTAGGCCAAGTTAAAAAACTACAATAAAATAAATAAAAAAGAGGAAAGAAAAAAAAGGAGGATGAATTGATCAATTCGTCATTGATATTTGGAGGGAGAAAACTCCAAACGATGGTGGAAAGGCAAGATAGGAAATGTCAATTATGGAATCTTTTATTATGCAAATATGCTGAGGACAAAGGCTAAAAGAGATTGAGGAAAGGTAATCTTAATCGTTCGGTCAAGATATGAAACAGGCAAGGAAGAAGGAAAAGTGCCAACTAACCTTGCCAAAGAGATGATAACGTAAGAACGATTAGTGGTAGTATCTTAATTAATTTAAATTTGAGGTTCTACTTCAAGGAGACGTGGGACTGGAATTTTCATTAATGTCATGAACTCCGTTTTTCTGTGTGTGTTTTTTTTACATAGGTCGGGAACATTGAATCCGGGAGGGAAAAAATACATATTTATTACAATCTGGTTCAGTAGGATCGGTTTTTGGTTCCAATAAGAAACGTAATTTGTGAGTGAAGTGGTAAAAAAGGTGTACACATAATATGAATTTGGTAGCTGACAGGGGGAGATGTTTGAGGAAGAAGATGTCAAAGAGTAAAAGTTTTCAAGGAATAACCCGATTGATTTGGAATTAGGAACCGAAGAAGGGGCTTCATGGAAGTAAAAAAAATAAGCCCAAATGTTATCATAGTCCATGTTAGAGAGAAACACAACCTTTGTTAGCCATCATCTGTAAGGCCTGTTAATCTTAACTAACGTTAGTTTCGAATCACGCTTCTTCTGCAAATCTTTAATTTCTTGGCACAACTAAAGAATTAACTAGCGTGGAAAGATGGAGGTTTTGAAAGGGGTATGAGATTCAAAGGTAAAAAGAAGATTGCAAGTAAGGATAGTCAGCATAAGATCTATCGAGGATCAGTATAGATTCTTCATCCATTCCAAATCAAGGTTTGCAATATGTCATGACAGAATCTATGTACCTTATAACAGGGACATCTAGGTGTCAGAGCTTGTTGGTGAGTGGATGCAAATAAGAGGTAAATAACAGGTTTTCCAGATATAGTTCACCGTTGTTAGCACCACAAATAAAAATGGTATTTAGGTCATCAGGTTGTAATAACAAAGGAATGAAGTCGTGGAGGATTGATTCAAAAGAAACATTGCAGAAGGATATCTTAGGTGTTAATAATGAAATGGTGAAGAAGATGTCTATGATTCATTTCTTAATATGTATATGTATGTATAATACGAATATGTAGAATAACACATATACAGCACCACTTTGTACGGTTATAAATAAAATAAAAAGCCATACACAGCGCTCGATATTCAAAAGCTACATCTAATAAATACTTGTTTTGACCAATAGTTGTGTCTGTCGACCGATAGTCGTGTCTATGAATTGATCAGATTTTAATTTTGGAGGAACGGAAGTAAGTTTATCCACGTCTACTCCAAATATCTGAGATTTAATTCAAAACTAATATTTCTTTAGCATTCGTGGCGGAAACAAAATACTTCAAAATTCTTTCAGGTCTCAGATGTAATGTATGTAATAGTTATTATGTCTTTTTCTTTAAATCCTCGTACATACACTAAAAATAAATTGATAGTCTTTCCTCAAAGCTCAGGCAAGCTTTACTTTGTTGAAGTACTTCACAACTTATTTCAATAAGCCAGCATGACCATGGCTGAGGACGTAACGGTACTTTGTCATTCCTAACACTTCGATGAAGAGGGACAATAATGAATGCAATCTGGTAATCAATGGTAAGTGGTGCAAATAAATGATAAATTTCAATATTTCTATATCTAATCAGATAACAATGATACTCGAGATAATATTGGAGAATGCAACGCGCGTTTTTCATACTATTTTTCATTCATTCTTTATTGAAATCGTCACATAGAAACATTATATATTTATTATATTAATATCCTCAAATAATTATAATTTCCTTTTTTTTTTATAAACTATAATAATTTTCAAACAAATATCAAACATGCCAAAAATTAGAGAACACAATAGAAATTTTTTTTGTGAAATAACTCGTGTAATAATTATTATTTTGGTGTATTATATTGAATTGTAAATTATTATATTTGCAGTATACTCTTTCATTGTTATTTAAAAGATAATTATTGAAAAACATATTCCAATAAAATGCACATTTTAAACTAAGTTAAAACAAAAATGGTACTGTACAATTAATTAAGGCTAAAACAAAATTAAAATAGTTAACATGATTAAATAAATTCATAAGTAAAATATTTGTTTTATGATTGTTTTAAGATAGTTATGTACGCGAACTCATCTCAGTTAATAAAGTTTTATTTATAAAGTAATATAAGGTTTTTTTAATAGGTGAAGGATGAAAATTCGGCACTTCTGACTGACATTTGATTGAGTAGTCATTAAACTATGATAAAAAATGTAAATATTGTAAAGAATTTGACAAGAAGCGGCTGTATGTATTAAAAATTCATTATTATTTGAAATTACTTATACTGACATTTCGCTCTAATTATTTAATATAATAATTAAAATAAACCGTTATGCGAGGTCATGGAGGTATTTATTAAAAATATTTTTTTTAAATTAAAACTATGCCTAAATTATTTAAATAAAGTGGCCTACTTACAAATCTTCGAATTGTCTTGTTTCATACTCGGCCAAATATTTCTTCATACACGTCTGAACGAGATTCACGAATTTTATCGAACGATCAGGATGCGAATTTCACTTCGAAATCGTTTGGGACGAGCTGTCGTACCACTGTCGACTAGTGTAAACGCGTAATGCTGACCAACCGGTACATCGATACACAGAAACGTACGATACAGAAACTTCCTCGAGTACCAACCAAGAAGCCGGTATTCGCCGTACTGAGGACAACGTCCTAACCTCTACCAGCTACAATAAAACGGTGGGGGAAACTGCATGACCGGTTTCTCATCCCTTCCACTCTCAGCCTCACCTCTTCTCATCCACGTAGTCACGCCGAAAACTTGTCATGTATTTATATATGTATAACTAAACATATGTATATGTACATACATATACTTGGAATAGGCACAGACTATCTATTCTGGTTGGGGGGAGGGGATGGAAGGAGGCCCATTGACCCTCAAAAAGTTTTCGAGAGTTTATAGTATGTATATAAAGTACGAATAATAATCAACATAATTACTGTAAAATAAAATTCATAGACAATATACAAATAAAAATAAATTTATATACATCCTATATATTATTTCTAAAAGGTGTTTTTTTGTCGGTACGCCATAACTTCGTCAATTCTTCATCAAATCCAATGATTGACAACTCATTTTGAAGATATCCTGCTCCTTCTCAGGCGAAAAATAGTCCTATCCCCCCGAAATTTCTGGAAAACAGTTATGGAAGAAACAAAACAAAAAACTAAAAAAATCGTAAAAATCGCACATTATTAACAAAGACACAGTCCATTAGTTTTGGGTATACTCAATAATGTATTCCTGTTTAAAGATATTGTATATAGGAGTAGAATAGTCCACTACACTTTTTTTCCTGGCTTTTATATTAACTTTATTATTTCTTAAAGACATTTGGTTGTTCTTACATTTTATTTTAGGGAAAAATTCCCTCCTTACATAATACATAGGAACTACTTATTTCCATATTATTTTAATATTTTTTCACTAAACAAAATTATCTGCGAATTGTTCGCACGGACCAACTAGTGTTTTTTATATTAAGTTTTATTTATTTTTTTTGCATGAGTATATTTGAAAACGTGTTAACAAAGCATAACAGAGTATGTATTACATGATTTTATTTTTATTTAACCTGGACAAACGACTCACTTGGAACCAACATACCAGACTGAAACGGCTAGAAACCACCCGACGTTTTCGACTACTGCAGCACTTACTATACAAACGCTTCCCACTATTTACAAAAGACTCATATATATTACTATAATCCTATTTGGACTTACAGGGTCGAGCTTTGGGGCTCTACTAAACAATCAAATTCCTCTGGCATCCAATCCCTACAATCCAAAATCCTTCAATGCTCCCTACTTTGTCACAAATAAAATCTTCCATAATAAACTTCTGAACCATCCGAACCTTCTTGTTTCCAACCTTGCTTCCTCTTCTATTCCTGATATCCCTCCAAGGCCTCCGAAAAGAAGATGGCCTCGGGACCTTCTAATATAGAAATATAATTGAAGTGCTACCAAGGGGTAGTTTCTCTTCATCTTGTACATGTCAAATTACTTATTTCATATTTACTATTTGTATTTATCATTATACAGTTGTAAATTTCAATAATAAAATTAAAATTAAAAAAAAAATGTATTTAAAGGTTTGAGGCAGTGTGACAAACACTCGCCGATGCTGTTTGATTTGACCAGGAGAAATGTGATCAAGTCTTCACGTAAAAATGGAAGAGTGCACATGAATGGAGGGATGCCCAGTAGGAGATTTCATGGGATTCCCTCAAAAATGTTGAGGGAACCCCATGATATAAGGCATATTTTGACGGTATTTTTAATTTTGATGGGTGCGGAGACGAATTTCTATGGGGTTATGAATTTTCGGACTGAAGAACAAGGGGAAAACATGGAACAGACTACAGCGAGTGTAATTGTATATGATTACGAATTTTCTAATTTTACCTCAGATCGCTCTCTTTTTAAGAAAAGGTGAGTAATAAAATATCTTTGGTGGAGGGTGGGTAGATTCTCGCGGCATCGACCTTGGAGGGGGCACCCTGCATGAATAAAGCACTAGCGGATCCAGGATTTAATTTTGGGGGGGCTTCAGCCCGAAAAAAATTTTTTTCATGAAAAAAACGATAATTACTTTGGAAAATAAGAAAGAAACTAACTACCTATATGAACTGGTGTTTAAGTGATTCCTAAAGCCCTTTTAAATGTAATTACACGAATAATTATACTTTAAGAGATCATTTTTAAATATTTTTTTCGATAAAACATGGTTATATTTTACCATTTTGGGGAGTGCTTCAGCCCGAAAGCTCCCCCTCTCCCGTAGATCCGCCCGTGCCATAAAGTACTAGGATATGTTGCAATATATTATCTTTGAATTTAAACTAAAATTTCAATAATAGAAGCATAAGGCGTGGTAAAATAAGTACCTGCTTTTCGGTCTTAGTTTATCCATTAGTCTACGTACTAGCGGATCCAGGATTTAATTTTGGGGGGGAGGAGACAAAAACCTTCAGCCCGAAAGTTTTTTTTTTTTTTAAATAAAAATAACGATAATTACTTTGGACAAAAAGAAAGAAACTAACTACCTATATGAAATGGTGTTTAAGCGATTCCTAAAGTTCTTTTAAATGTAATTACACGAACAATAATACTTTAAGAGATAATTTTTTTATATTATTCCCATTAAACATGGTTATATTTTACCATTTTGGAGGAGGGAGCTTCAGACCCAAAGCCCTCCCCCCGTAGATCCGGCCGTGAGTCTACGTTTCCTATTTTCTTAATTAATTTTAGTTATGAATGAATACATATTTTATTCATTCATGTAGATTATTTTTTGTTGATTTTTATTTTATTTTTGTTCTTCGAAATATCAAGAGGGGGGGAGGCGAAATGATATTCTCGCCTCCTCTCTATTTTTACTGAGTAAAATATCAAATTTCGGGCTTTCCAAATACTAGTTGGTCGATCTGATTTTTTTCACACTGAACCGATACAAAATTGTATTACATAATTTTATCAAATTCTTAATGAAGAACATATAATTGAAGATACATTTATTATTAAACCAATTAAAAGATTTTTTTTTAATGTAGTCTACCTGGTATGGTAGTTTTGTCTGAAATGTTTTTGAGCATGAAAATTATCCATTTATTTTTTAGGAGTACTTATTACAAATTTCAACTTTTTTATGGTTCAAACTAATTTTTTTTTTTAAATTACCGCAGCTGAATTTTTTTTTAATCGGATTTCTTCCATAGCATGGAAATCACCGAGATATTTTTAAACCTGAATCAACCAGGCAGGGACGTTCGGGCTGAATTAAAATAATCAAATTTGGAAAGCCAATACTCCGATACGCCGAACGCTAATGAAGTATTACTCATCTTGTTTTAGGAAGATCACATGTCTCATAATATAAAATAATAATAATAATTTAATACATAATATAAAGCGTGAAAAGTATAGCTCGTTAATAAGGTCGTGTTTTCCCTTCATTTTAATTAAGACAACAAATGATGAAAATATTTATTTTCTTTTAATCGATTCAACTAATGAAACATATGAACCAATGCGAATCCATTGATGTTTGCCGCCAGAAGGTTGAAACGCAAAGGAGGCGTTGACGAACGCTAGTATTCATTGAAATGGATTAAATTAGCAACTCTTTCGCAAAGAATTTGCTTAGTGTGGAAGTGCATTCGGGCAAAACGGTCCGTTGGCGAATATCACTTCCCGACTACATTAGACGAATCTTCGTTCACGAACGAGATTCGACTAATGGCGACGCACCTATATAAGAAAAATTAGGGATGGACGATAGTCGATAGTTTTCCACTATCGATGAAAAACTATCGATAATATTACGAACTTAAGGGGAATTTATTTTCGCTGTATTCTTTATTTATTTACTATTAAATGCTGTATAAGCTTCAAAACAATGATCAACAATTATGTTGATACATGAGGTTTAGACACAATCATTAATTATTAAACCTGTGTCCCGGAGGTAAACAACCATGTCCATTTTTACATTAAATAATTTAGTAATGAAGAAACAAATTTTAATAACTCAAAGTTATGGAAAGTTGGCTCTCTTGAACAAATACAAATATGGACTATATAAATATAAATATATAGATTTATATAAATACTAATATAAATCTACGACTATGTATATGTAGTATTGCTTTATTCTTGAAGGAAGTTAGTCGACTGTTGTACATATCATGGGTGATAAATATTCAGGACGCAGTCTTTTTTTTAAAAAAAATTATTTTTGCCAACGTTTCAACCCAAACATGTGGGTCATCTTCAGGGCTCAAAATTTTTTTAAAATACAATCAGAGATATAATAGTATACGACCGCTAATAATAATAATAATAAATAATAAACTATAGTGATTGATGGTGCATGAATCTTAACTAATATTGCAATACACATATTAAAATTAAATATGTAGATAGTTACACAAACTAAAAATTAAAAAAAAAATTATAATAATGTATATAATCTATTTATACAAATGTTTAATATTTTCTCTTTCTAACCGTGGTTTGAGCATTGAGGGTGTTCAAGTACTGACACATTTGATTGGTAAGTAAAAAGGTCAGGGGGGAGGGAGGGAGGATTTCCCAGTTGTCCTTTTTCAGATAGCAAAAGGTAGGTAGGTAAACATAGTTAGATGGGAAGAGAGGTAACATTTATGTTTGTAGAATGTACATAATTTGCTGACTAAATATTTCAGACGTGTACAATATTTGAGTTGTTTCATATGGTTACAGAAATGTGACTATTGGTTAGTAATGAAATGAACATAAGCAAGAGGTGCCAATCAATGTAAATATAACTTAGTTAAAAAAGACTGCGTCCTGAATATTTATCACCCTTTAGTTTTGTTTTAATTATTTGGTAAAAAAAATAAGCAATAAATCCGTATTTTAATTTTCAAGGTTGTTATTTTCTAATTTCAATTTGATAAGATTAGTTTAAAAAAATAAATAAAAACCTGTAATGGCGTCATTGTAGATTTTGTAATTTTTTTTTATGAAATAATATATATTTGTTTATTTAGAAGTATTACATTCTGTCACATCAAGGACATTTATAATAGTGATCAGAGAAAGCACACTCACACTCTATTTACAATAAAATAAAAAAAATAAATAATACAGAAACTTAATAATAATAAATACAATAAAATAA